AATTATAAAATATATTATTTATTAAGATTATAAAAATAATTAATATATTAGAAATTTTATAAAAATAAAATTAAAAATTTATAATAATTATAATATATTCTAAAAATAATTTTATAAATATTATTTTTAATATATATTTAATAATATTCAGAATATAAATTTAGTTTTGAAGGTTTCTTGATTTTATTAATTTAAGATAAAAATAGTAATTTATAATAATAATTTATTTAAAGTTCTATAATTAATATATAATTTTAATATATTTTCTTATATATAAACAAAACTGATATTCAAATTTATATTATATTAAAATAAATAAAATATTTATAATTAGACCAGTTAATTATTCTTAAACTTATTTATTTCTATAAAAAAAAAGATAAATTAATCTGAATAATAATTTAAAATTAATATAAGATTAATTTTATAATTAATAGCTCTTTTTAATAATAGTTTTTTAATAAGATTTTAGAAAATATATTTTTATATTTCTTCTTAATTTCTAGTACTTTTAATATTAAAAACTTTTCTTTATTTTCTTTATTTTTTTTCATTTATTATATTAAGATAAATAGTAATTAATTTTATATTAATTAATAAGTTTGTAATTTATTATTAAATTATATAAATTAAATTATAATTAGAATTAATCTTAACTTCAATATTAATCTTAATTTTGATAATTTTTAGTTTATAGTTAAAAATAATAATTATTTTAATTTTAAATAAAAAATAATTTATTATAAATATCAAATATTTCAATAAGTATAATATATTAGAACTAAATTTATTAATAAAATATAATAAAAATCAAAATTTTCTTTTTATATTAGAATTTATAAAATTATTAATAATTTTTATTTTTATATCAAAAATAAAGTTTATTAATTATAGTTTAATATATATTTTTTCAGATTTTTTCTGAAAGAGTTATTCTAATTATAAAGTTATATAAAAATTTTTATTAATTAAAAATAAAATTTAATTAATAAAAATTTTTATACTAATTTTATAATTAAAATAATTCTTTTAGAAAAAATCTAAAAAATCTAAAAAAATATATGTTAAATTATAATTAATAAACTTTATTTTGATATAAAATAAAAATTATTTCTTAATAAATTTATAAATTTTAATAAAGAGAAAATTTTAATTTTTATTATATTTTATTAATAAATTTAACTTCTAATATATTATTTTTAGTTATTACTGTAAATAAATTTTTATTATTAAAAAAATTTATAAAAAGTAAATTAATAAATAATATTAAATATTTTTTTTATTTTATATAGAAAGATTTTTTTAATTATAATTAATTAATAACTAAAGATGACATCTTAGTTAATTATAACTTATAATAGCTAATCAGAAAATTGTGATTTAATTATGATTAATTATAGTAGCTAATTAGAGAATTATGATCAAGTTATAACTAATTATAATGTTATCTCTATTAATAACTAAAAAATATAATTATAAAGAAATCTAATTATATAAAATCTGAACTAAACTTAATATATTTGATATATTTATAAAGGAATAAATATATTTGAATCAGACTTGAATCAGATCCAAACAAAATCCAAATTAGAGATCTGAACTAGACTTGAATCAAATTCAAATCAGATTTAAACTAGATTCGAATTAGACTTTTTAATATGTTTAATTTTTTGAATCAGACTCATATACTTTAAGAACCAATTTTTTTATTGGAATGATCTAAATAGCATTTTATATTACTATAAATAATCTTTATATATTAATTTTGAATCCTTTTTTTTATTTATTTGTTGTAAGAGATATAACTTTTGAATTGCTATTTTTCTTTGAATTTCAAAAGTATGTATACTACAATTAAAATTATTTCTAGTTATGGAATGTGATTCAGTTTCTATATTTAATAATACAGTCATTGATTCTTTTGTTTTGACTAGATCTTAGTACGAGCCATTTTTAAAGAAACACGTTTTTTATGTACATACGATTACATGGGTTTGTGATGTGCATGTGATCGGGGACCGTGCCTTTGCTTTGAAGGATCACCCAAATTTGAAGAACTTTGGTTATATAAATCCAGCAAGTCAGCCACCTGTCTTGCATTTCCCAGAAATAGGAGGCTGCGCCAGACTTTATCGCGCAAAAGAAAACCTCACATCGAAAATATAAGAAATTTGCTTATCCTATATCATTTATACCGCAGTCGTTTGTTTAGATATCTGAGGTTCATCATGGCTTCTCATGGTAAAGGTGATATCAAACATCTGCAATAATAAAAGTCTCTATGTTTATCCGATTCTCAATTACTATTCATCAAGAAGAATCTTTGCCTCAAAGACCAATCAAACATTTCGCAAATGATACCAAAAATGTAATTGTTGATCTATTTATCTATTATGAGAAAATTAAAGACTGTTGGATTGATTTTAATGTTGTTTTTATGTTAAAAGATTGTGTTGGAAGCGCTTCGAGGGCTTTGTTTTACTTTTCCGCACTTGCGATTAATTGAGCGAGAAAAGGGCAAGTGATGAATAATGCAATATATATAAAATAATGTTGTTAATTATATTCAAGATTTACCATTGCCTTTATTCAATAATTCATTTCACATATTTCACATACATATAGTGATATATAGAGCTGATATTGACGAAATTAAAAATAAGCAAGTCACTCTTGTATCGGGGGGTAATTATATGAAACTTATAATTTCATGTCCGCCAAAAATTGTTAAATATATATTTCCTTCATCCAATACGCAAAAGGCGGGGCAGGTCATGAACCTGCACATGCCGGATTCGTGGGCCCAAATCTTTTATCAGCCGCCGTCTCAGGCAACATATTCGCATCACCTTCCACCTCACAAATACTCGCCGCAATCCGACGTGTTCAATCGCCACATGGCACTTTACTCATCGTCAAAAATTACACGGGTGACTGTTTGAATTTCGGATTAGCTGCAGAACGAGCAAAAGCTGAGGGAATCAAGGTGGATATCATTATTGTGGGTGATGATGTCGGTGTTGGAAAAGAACAGGGTGGATTGGTTGGAAGACGTGGATTGGCGGGAACTCTCTTTGTTCATAAAATTGCTGGTGCTGTCGCTGCTGAAGGGTAGTAATATTTATTGAAAAAAATTGTCGTGATTTAATAATGATAATCATGTGAATTGCAATGATTCTTTAATAGTGCGACACTCGAAGAGACGAAAGCTGCTGCAGAATTAGCTGCACGTAATATTGGAACGATCGGGGTTGCTTTTGATCATTGTACAATTCCAGGATCCGAATCTGCTGCTTTTTTGTCGAAGGATGAAATAGAATTGGGAATGGGTATTGATTGTCATCATCACCATCATCAGTATCTATTATCCAATTATTGCCGATTCTATATTTACTCTTAACTATTTTTTAAAGGAATTCATAATGAACCTGGTTACAAAAAAATAAGTCTTCCATCATCACGGGAATTAGTTCGTATAATGCTTGACACAATAATTGACACAACTGATTTA